ACATTGTCACATTAATCTCCAGGCAGCTGATAAGCTCAAATGGGGACACCAGAAAGGAGTTTATACAGTCAAGGAAGGGTATCAACAGTTGTGCTCTAGAAACCCCGTGATAGCTAACTGGCCTTGGAAACTCATTTGGAGGACCAAGCTACCACCTAAGGTAGTTTTTTTTACCTGGATAGCTCTATATGAGGCATGTCTCACCCAAGACAACATAAAGAAAAGAAAAATCCAATTCCCAAACAGATGCTATATGTGCAAAAAAGAGGCTGAAACCCCCAGACACCTTCTTCTTCATTGTGAGGTGGCCTCAGAATTATGGAGCATGTTTTTTTGTCTCTCTGGCATCAATTGGACCACACCCCTCACTGTTAAGGATGCATATGAGAGTTGGAGTCTATGGAAAGTTGACAAAGCCATCAAGAAGATCTGGATTATGATACCTGCTTGTATTTTTTGGAGTATTTGGTTGGAGAGGAACAAGAGATGTTTTGATGGAGAGTCAACTGCTTTAGGCATTTTGAAGACTAGGTGCACTGAAAATTTGTTTAGTTGGACCAACTTGTATCCTGCTGTTAATGCAGAACAACTTCAGGATTTTACTAACTCATTAGCTCTGGCTTAGATAGTTTGTATAGTTAGCCAGAGATTTTTTTGTAAGCTCAAATGCCATATCTTGTAAATTTTGCATCTTCCCGATGCTGTTATTAATACCACTTATCTTATCAACAAATAAAGAAAATATACATCTAGATATTAGCAGCAAGGAGAACACCAGAACTAGTCCAGAATAAAAATAATTTAAACATATCCTTCACATGTGTGTCTATTCTATATTTGAAATAACAAACAAAATTTGAAAGAACTTGAGAAGAAAGTACTCTTAAAAATTATTTGTTACTTGATGGTTTTGATCTGAGCTTTTTCCGCATTTCTTTTGTTGATTTCTCTGTCACTTCAATTAAAAAAGAACAAACTAGGCTTTCAACATAGATTTTCGCGCCATGAAAGTCATCACAGTAACATATGGATATCTGAATGTGTCATCTTTTGAATTGTATATTATGGAAATTGATTCCAACACTGCCAATATTTCACCTTTATTTGACATGAAAAAAGGTGGATATAAAACTTGATAAATTGGATACGTGATGGTAAACTTCTTTATCCAAGACTCTTTAACCCCGTACTCATTCATAACCCAAACAGTTCTCTTATAATCAGTAAAGACACAAAGATCACTTCCCAACATTCCCAGACACAAATCAGTCTCTTCTACTCCATAGGAGGGCTTCTCCATTGTTTCCCATTTCTCATTAGCTAAATCAAAATAGCTAATGCCCATACACACAAAAGTGAAATAAGGACCAACTGCAATAGTATCCCAATGAAGCTTCCCATTTGCAGACAAACCTGAACCACTTAACATTATTTTTCTAATAGAGTATGAAGTATTTAATATATTCCCATAATAGTCAACACTACTTCAGGAATCACTTTTTAGACTATATATTTTAACCTCAATGTCATTTGAACCACATGGTTGTTATAAAAGATACCCACTACCTTATAATCGTCATAGAGCTCATCATATCCAAAACTATCTATGGCAAGTTTGTACTTCCAACTAAGTTCAATATGAAGCAAATTCTTGTGCATTCTAGTTGTTGAATTCCATAAAAGAAAATATTGTGCATTATGGGCAAGGAAAATCAATCCATTGCAAGAACCCAAAGTGCTGACATTTTTACCGACCTTTTTAAAGGGATAATCAAAGTCACGAGCCTCAGTCACAGAGCCAAAAAATAAAGACCTCAGAAGATATTCTTTGAAATTCCACTTAGCTCTCCTACGACCCTTAGGACCCAAAAAATAAGCATATGGTGGGTGTCTTCCTTGTTATTAGCTGATAAACTAACATGGGTCTTGATAAATTCAGGGTAGAGATTAAATAAAGCCAAGATTTTGGAACTGGCCTGAATTTCAAGAGGGATTTCACCGAAAGCTCAAGAGGATTTCGGTAACGAGCTCTGGTGGCAGAATAGGGATTGTCAAGATCCAATTTTGCATTGAATTTGATGGAAATTGAGCTTGTTTTGTGCGATCGGAGGCTTCAGAATCCATTTTGGTTGCAGAAATTTCGAGTTCCATTGTTGTGAAAACCCCAAGTGTACTGATATTCTTTAACAGAGTATTATAAAACTATTAAGGGTAAAATCTTACTACTTGAAACTTTGGGGATGCTTAATGTAATTTAATAAATATTAGCGTCCATAGTCCATACATAATTACATATACTGGGCCAGAAACCTCCGTCGGCCCAATTCACTTGCCGGTCAAACCCCGCCGTCAAAGACTTCTCATTCAGCCGAGCACGGCGGCGACGGGCAGTAACCAGCTCAGTGGGTGGTGTTTTTCCGGCGGGAATATAGCGAAGATATGGAAAATGAGAATAAACTAGAGAGTTTCGTGCTGGTACATAACATAGCAAAGAGACACAACGTCGGAACCTTAGCTCGTAGCGCCACCGCGTTCGGCGTCTCGGAGATGATACTCGTCGGCCGTAGAGATTTCAACGCTTTCGGTAGCCACGGCTCCACTTCTCACGTCCGTTTCCGCCACTTCCACTCCCTTGCCGATGCTAAAACCTTCCTCAAGGTATTCAAAAGTTCCAAAACCGAAATTCTTTTACTTACTTTTGTAAGTGTTGGATTTGTAATATACAGAATTACTTGAGGCTGATCATTTATGGTTGCTTATGAATTTTACTGAACAGGAAAGAGATTGTGATATATGTGGAGTTGAAATTACAGAAAACGCGGTTGCAGTAAATGAGCATCCTTTTAAGAGAAGTACTGCTTTCCTGCTGGGTAATGAGGTTCGAATCATAATATGTTTCGGCTTCTTTTTGTTATAAATTTTGAGATGATCCATATTAGATACATATGAACTAATTGGGAATTAGGACTTATCTGTTATTACGGTTAGGCTAAGTCGGATTAGAGACATTAATCTCAATTTTCTTTATAAGAAAAAATATTTTTTTAGTAGAAATGTATCTTAATAGAGCAGAATGGTTAGTGAGGATTCATATAGCCCATCCATCTCGTTTGGGATTGAGGTGTGGTTCATTGATGCTAAATGTGAGATGCTCTTTCCTCAACCGAAATATCTTATATAAGAACTCTATTAGCGATTTCTGGAAGTTTTGCTTAGAGGTGTTATCAATTACTTGTTCTTTATTATGGGTGGGAAATATTACTGATTTCTTGATGGTTTGTGAATGTCATTTGTTCTGAACAACAAATGTTAGGGTAGGATAACGATTGGCCTATTGACCATAATATGAATAAATTGGTGTTGTAGGGTACTGGACTTTCTGCAAAAGAGTGTGAGATATGTGATTTCTTTGTATATATTCCACAATATGGGTGTGGTACTGCTTCATTGAATGTGACTGTTGCTGCTTCCATTGTTCTGCATCAATTTGGAGGTAATTTTTATTGATAATCACTACTGCTTTTATCTTATTCGTTCTATTCTGTTTTTGGTGACTTTTTCCATGCTGCTTACTGGACAGAAACATTTTGTGTCTTATACCTGATAATGTTAGCTTTATTGCTCTATCGTTCTAGAAGTAGGACCAGATCTTTATATGTGACTTCTTCCTGCATCTAGTGCTTTACCTTTTGTTAATACTACTTGTGAAATAAGAAAAAGCTAAATCAGGTTCTAGTTCTCTTTTTTTTTTGGATTACGTGATGCTCGGGCCAGCTTGCAGTTCTCATTCTATTTCTTAAATATAAATATATGGTAAACCCCACCATGAAACTCTTCTATCTAGGAGCCAACAGTGTCATTTTTCAGTTTGCTCTCCGCCTCTCCGTTGGTGACTCGAACCTCCCTACCTCACAGTTGGAAGTGGAGAGTCCTTACCTCTAGACTATCCCTTCCTTGTGTAGTTATGCTCAGCGTACTTGTTCTGTTGTACATTGAATTTCCTTCATACGACTAGATATTGCTCTTACCTTCTCCATTCATACTGAAATTATCAAGATTTCTAGCCTTTGTTTTCATGTGGTGGAAGTGTTGCTGCTTTGACATTGACATTTTTTTAGAGTGTTTTGCTGTTTGCTTTTCCTTAGTATTAAAATAAATTGGTATGGTATTTGTAGAGCCGAAAATCGAAAATACCGAACCAAAATGTTTCAAAAACATACCAAACCGAATGGTGAACTCCCCTAGGTCATATGTGTAATTACTGATCAGCAGAAGAGCAAGAAAGTTTCACTTTGATTAGTTGGTTTTCCAGCACCATAGTGTTGCCAACAAACTGTTTTTGCTTCAAATAATCTCGAGGATTTCACGGCCAAAGGAAGGTAGAGGACTAGAGGCTGCTAGCGTGCTAAGCACTTATTCTTGTACTTCAATAAGGAAAAATTTTCTTTTGGTATGATACATGAAAATGTGGAATAGCTAGCTGGATTGCTGGATTGCTGGATCAACGAGAGGCTGTATCTCCTAAATTTCTTACTTGAATAGCTCAGTAATTTGAGAGGATAACCTTTTTAAAAATATACCTAGCTTTTTCAATGCTAAAACTAATAGCTTCTTTGCTCTAGTCTCTTTTATCAAATAAAACATAGTTTAAGAAGACTGTGGCTCTTGTATGCTTCAGCACTCGTACTTTGATGCTTGAATAGTTGTGCAGCTATGACAAATGGAGGGCCTTTTTGACGCTAAAATGCCAAGAAATGGAGAAACAAATCTTCTTTTCAAAGCAGTACAATTAAGTATAATCTTTTTCTCTGATACAACACTGGAACTTAACTGTAAGCTTTAAACCCTCAATTGAGTGTCAATCAACTTTGCCATTCTTATGGTCTGTGAATGTCCTGCTGGTGATCATTTGCTGTTAGATCAGTGCAATCTTGCCAATCCAATGGCTACTGAGATGACTGTACCATGTGTAGCTGTAATGAAATTGAAGTCACTGACTGCTGCTGTTGAGAGCTAAATTTTACACCATTTTAATGGCTCTGGTTTTAATGCTATCATTTGGTATATCTGGTCTAGTTCTCTATTTGTTGTATGCCACTTGTATATGTGATTTTTTCCCCCAACATTTGAATACACTTATTACCTTATATGATCATGTAGTTTTAGCTATATTGTGGACTGAAATTTAAAATGTAAATCTTCTCAGTTTGGGCTGGATTCTCTGAGAGAACACGTGAAGGGAACAAGTTCATTGTGGCTGAAAGACCTTTTAAACAGGCAAAGAAAAATTACTGCATGGAATCATCTGAATCTGTTGCTGAGGAGCGAAGACTGAAGAGGGAAAATCTTTCAAATGGGTTCTTTGAAGATGCTGGAAAAGAGGAATCACCTTCAAATCTTTTAGATACCTTGTTTGATGACTAGTGCCAGGGAGAAGAGAAAACTACCGATATTATGCTTCCTTCAGCCTCATCCTCAAAGTTGTGCTGATTTACTTAGATAGAAACAAAGCAAATCAAACGGGGATTTAAGTTATTGATGGAATGAACTGTGGAAGAGTTGGAATTAGGAACCCTAAGCAGTCGCGCTAACCAGCCACCACCATGGAGTAGCATTTTCACATGATCTTTGTATTTGCAAGTTCAGTAAGGGATTTCATGTTTAGCATGTTCAGTCTTCTGTTTGAGATATCAAACTGCTAATACTACATAAAACTAGATCAGACATGGCATGTGCCATTGTTTAGTCAAGGATGAATCATGTTTGTTGTACCCTTGACCTCGGTTTTGTCATTTCTTAAATATAATGTAATTTCAGACTAGCAAATGATTGTAGGTGTACATAAGGTCTATCCTATCTTCTCTTGTTTCCCCTAGTCAGTGTTCTACTCACACATATTGCCAAAAGTGTTAGGTAACGCCTGGAAGTTGAGGCTTGATTGGCTCACCTCCACATTTCCACCCCCTATTTCACTTTAGTGTAGTAGGCCAGAATGTAGAACTTTTGATAGTATCAAAGCACTGAAATGCCCAACATAAATGCTGTCATGAGTTGTATTTGCATCTGCCAGACGAGAATTGATCACTCTGTCCTGAACAACAACAACAATATACCTAGTATAATTCCACAAGTGGGTTTGTGGAGGATACAATGTACACAGACCTTACCTTTACTTTTGGGGTAGAGAGACTGTTTCCAAATTGATTACTCTGTTCTGTAAAAACTGAAAATGACTTGTAAAAGTTATTTCAAAAAGCCTATTAATATCATAAGCCTATTCCACCTTTATCTTCCAAATAATGGACTAGCTGGTGCGTGTGTCATGTGGCACCTTAACTCTATATCTTATTTTAAAAAAAGATACTAAGCTTTATGTCACAAGACTAACAAACTGCTCCATTGTTGGATAATTTCTTGGTTTTAGACCTCTTTCCATTGACTAATGTGGGAAAAGATGAAGTAAATGAAGGTCATATATCTATTATAATATATCAATCAAGAATAGAAAAAACTGAGGATTTCTTTATCTTTACAGTTGTTTAAGTTTTCAAGAGAAAGAAAGTCTTTGTTCACAGGTATGAGTTAGGTATTGTTTGTTGTCACAAGACAAGAAGCTCAACCATTATATGCCACCAATGTCAAATATTCAAACCTCACCTCATTTCTTGGAGCAGTTGGGATGTGTTTTTGTCTCTTTATCTACTTTTCACTTGCCCTACTCAGACTTTCACCAGTAAGACACAATATCCTTTTAAATGACAAGTAGTATAAATGTGGTATCAATCCTAGTATCACTTTCATACCTTCAATCAAGGCTTAGTTTAAGAAATTTGACTAACATCAAATTCATTAATATCCATCTAGTTTAGCTAAAACTTAGTTGCAGAGAACTTCCATGCAGTCAACAGAGGTTCCAGTGCAGCTTTCATGCAGAAAACAGTTTTCCTGCATGTTTCATGTCTTCAGACGGAGAATTCACCGGCTTTGCTCGAGGATGCGATGGCTGATGTGGCGTCGTCCAAGGGCTAAGGTGGTGATCAAGAGGTTTGGGAAGCTGAGTTCAAGAGGAAGTCATGGTCAGCTCAAAGAAAAACTAAGTTTCAAATCATCATCAACTCATCCAAATGGACAGAGTAGGACTATTCGACTAGCCTCCTTCAATGCTGCATTGTTTTCCCTTGCACCTGCTGTGCCTAAGCCTGAAAAATCATCCGTCTTTTCTCATGATGATGACAATGATGACGGTTTCAAATTTCAAAACCAGGTAAAGTCCGAGAATAATCGTCCTAAGAGCATATTGAAGCATTCCCCTCTTCATCCTATATTAACAAATGGAGCAAAACCAAAGCAAAAAGTTTCTATCAACCTTCCTGAGAATGAGATTTCATTAGCTCAGAATAGGGTACTTGGAATCTTGGAAGATGATTCCACCAAGATTTTGAGTTTAAACAACAACAGCCTAGGCCCTGTGAGGTCTCCGATATGCTTCCCCGCGATGGCTAATTGGATGATTAATGATTATGGAGGGTGCTGCTTGAGTGGAACAAGGACCATTCTTGATGTGCTGAAAGAAGTGGATGCTGATATATTGGCTTTACAAGATGTGAAGGCTGAGGAAGAGAAAGATATGAGCCCTTTATCTGATTTAGCTCGTGCTCTTGGGATGAACTATGTGTTTGCTGAAAGCTGGGCTCCTGAATTTGGTAATGCTATTTTATCCAAATGGCCTATTAAGAAATGGAGAATCCAGAAAATCTATGATGATAAAGATTTCAGGTGCCTCCTTCTGTTAACACTTATGTTGACTATATCGAATCATATGCTCTTTGTTATCTAAACGTTTAAGCTATTAGAAATAGAAACACTTCTATTTGGCAAAGCTTTTAACTTGAAAATTGCTCCTTATATAACTGGTGTTTTGGTTTGATGCAGAAATGTGCTTAAGGCTACGGTTGATGTACCCCGGATGGGAGAGTTGAACTTCTGTTGCACTCAACTTGATCATTTAGATGAGAATTGGAGAATGAAGCAAATAAATGCAATAATACAATCAAATGACAGTCCTCATATTTTAGCAGGAGGGATAAATTCTCTTGAAGCCTCAGATTACTCATTAGAGAGATGGAATGATATCGTAAAGGTAAGAAGAAAACCGAGTCTTATAAGTACAACTTTTTCTTGGATTACTATTATTCTTTTTTATCAATTTCTTGATCACACAATGTCATGATGGAAGCAGTATTATGAGGAGATAGGAAAACCAACTCCAAGAGTTGAAGTAATGAATTTCTTGAAACAGAAAGAGTACAATGATGCAAAAGAGTTTGCAGGGGAATGTGAATCAGTTGTTATCATTGCTAAAGGCCAAAGTATGAATCTTTATCTCAAAATTTCCTATGAAATCTCTCCCAATCTTACTTGTAACCATTATATGAGTTGCTAACAACATTTCTCAATCATGTTCTTTGTCATTTTGACACAGATGTGCAAGGAACATGTAAATATGGAACTCGAGTTGATTATATTTTGGGATCGCAAGGCCTTCCTTATGCATTTGTACCTGGATCATACTCGGTTTTTTCATCAAAAGGCACGTCCGATCACCATATAGTTAAGGTGGACATCATGAAAGCAGCAAGCAGAGGTAGGAAGAATAGTAGGAAACAGAAGAAAGTGAAACAGAAAGTTGAGAGGATGACAAGTTCTTGTTCTTCAAGAGGGATTTGACAAGTGAGCAATTAGCAACTATATATGGTTATTACTTGTTAGTTCATTTTCTTCCTTGTGGTGGTGTATACATTATTTTGTTTCCTTTCTTTGTGACTAATTATAACACTTCTATTACATGTAGAGTTTAAAATAGTGAGGGAAAGTCATGATATTGCAGATGTAAGTTATCTCTTTTTTATTTTTATATATGACAAGGGAAATCCGCAGCCGCTACCCTTTGGGTGCGCACAGGGTAAAGCCCCCGCTCCTATGCAATAGCTCGCAAACCACATAGGAGAGGTAACTCGCACTAGGCAAGCATGGTACGACGAGCTCGACCCAAAAGGCAAACCCCTTGCTTTCGTTGGCAAGGGGTTTCAAACTTGAGACCTCCAACATGGAAGTCCCAAGTACAAACCACTAGGTTATCTCTTTTTTGTTGGAACTAGTTACCATTTTTATTGAATCATCAAAATTCTCCTCATAATAAGTTCCTCCTTTAAATAGTTTTCTAGCTCTTAATTCAATAATTGGCTAAAAGTGTTTAAATCTATTGTTTGCAGAATATCTAATTGGCTTTAAAATACAAGTTATTTGGTACTCAACTATAGTTTGCAATTGAACGAATATTATTAGTCCAACATATGGTGATTAGAAGTTTAGAACTGACAATTTTGAGCCCATATTTATAATATCAATCAATTTAATCCATATTTTATTGAGTTAGATAACTTATATTTTAGTTGGGTAAATATGAGCTTCACCCAATTTTCAACCCATAAAAATATGGAAAAAATGGACAAATTTCATAAAGCATGCTAGTATAGATGCTAATCACCGATAGTTTCAATAATTACATATCTTATCCGAGTCGAATCTAGGATATAGTTTCAATAATTAAAAAAGCTAATTAGATCAATATCTGACATGATGTTAAACATCATCTTCCAATTCTTTGCTTTACTCTTTAAAATTTCTGGGGCATGAGAAAGAAATGTCCACAACAGCATTATTTTACACGTAATAAAACAATTAATTTTGAATCCATTAGAAACTCTAATTTAATATGATACAATTTGAAGAATGATTACATTCAAATATTAGGCTATAATTTTAAAATAAAATTCTCTATCTGGTATCTACATTGAAGCCTGACTAAATTTAAATTCGTGTTGGAAAATTCCGGGGATAAAGCACTCTCTAACAAAGGTGACTCCGTAACAAAGGAAACTCAAACCTGAGACCTCTTAGATAAGAATGAAGATCATGTACTTACCAATCCACTACGACCCTTGTTGGTAAATATTAGTCTATAATTAATCGCTAGTGCAACTACTAGAAAAAAAAATTGTTGGTATACGTACAAGTAATGTGGTATGGTTCCTAAAATTGTGTCACGCTTGCACTTAATTAGATCATGCTGATGCTACAAAATGTTTACTAAAGTCAGAAAATTGTTACACAGATATTTCAACAAGTTGAAAGTAGTTCATAATATATCGTATTGTATTGTGTAATATTGTGTCGTATTATATCATTTTAATAGATACCATGTTAGATAGATTGTATATTTCTATGTCGTTATATAATGTCACACATCATCAATTTGAAGAATAAACCTATAAGAAAAATAGAATATGGGGTAGAACTACTATAAGTATAAAATAGATTGAGAAGAAAAAAAATATAATAACAACATGATTATACCAAATTAATAGTTACACAGAATGAAATTTTTCGTTATTACCTAATGATGAATTTAATGAGGAATCTGAGTATATATGTCATGATGATATTTACGATTATATATGTCACTTTAATTACGGGGAAGCAAAGCAATAGCTTACTCTTGCTTCCAGGTATCTCTATTCCCATTTCCTTTTTTTTTTCTTCAAATAATTAATTATTCGTTTCAATAACATATACTACCTTCTAAAGAAATTTAATACTATACTCCCTCAATCATTTTTACTTGTGATGTTTTGTTGTTCGAGAGTCAAATCGTATAGATTTTGATTAATATTTTAAGATATAAATATTTTAATATGAGAATGATTGCAACTTTAGTTTTTGAACATTTAAATTTTGAATAATAAATAAATCAAATTAAATTAAGCTTCGAAAATTAGTCAAATTGACTCTTATAAAACGAAATATGATAAATAAAAGTGAACGAGGAAAATACTGATTAAGAAATAATAAGTATTGGGAAGCTGCTGAAATAGATGTTCTGATTTATTTTGGTTTTCATATGATTCCTTCATAAATTTTACTAACAGAATTTAATTTATACTTGAGCAATGCTAAAGTTCATTATTCATATATACGTGACAAGTTATGGAAATATATATGCCTATACATGTTTTATACGAATACGTAATATTTAAATCTAAGTTTAAATCAACATTACTATAAGAACATGATATTGAAAAGTTATATGAAAGAAGGAATTAAGATCATGTAGAAATTACGAACTTCTTTATTGAGTTGTACCTTGTACTCAATCTTATATATATGTGCATAAGCTTAATTATCGTTAATTATTTATTTTTTATCAAATTTATTTGTATTTCTAAGAGATACATACACAGCTTAGGATTGTACTTTGTTAGTTAGTTAGAGAGGTAGTTAGTCCGTTAAAGTGAGCTTAAGCTTTAAGTTACTTTCTCCGTTTCATATTACTTGATCCTAATACTAAATATAGTTATTTCAATTTACTTGTCCAATTTATAAAATAAAAAAATTATTATAGTTTTTCTTTTTTTTTTATCTTTGGTATTAAATAACTACATAAAAGTAGTCAAATTTAGAGTTTCAAAACATCATTAATAAAATTAATTTAGTAAAACACACTTCAAATGTGATGTAAGATGTTTGCTAGAATATAGCACGATTGAACATTAAAAAAAACACAAACACTTCCAAGATCATAAGCTCATTGTATATATAACCAACAAAGTAATAAATTTAAAACCCCAAATCTTATAATATTATTCATTTCTTGTGATTTGCATCATATACACACCTTAGTTTAAAATCAAATAAATCAACCAAAATAAAAATAAAAAACCTTTCTCAAAACACAAAACTCAATCAAATCATTAGTATAAAATATTTTAAACTCAACATAACTCCATTTTAGTTATCTTGACTATTAATTGGAAGGGTACCCTATACCATGGCGTTTATTAGGAAACACCATAAACACAACACTAGAAATTGCACCAACAACCGGTGGCAACACCATAATCAACATCTTTTCCGTCGATTCGAACGCCGGAAAGAAACAATCCACCGTATTTCTGTCCAAAATAGTCACAACACCAAAAACAACTATGGTAAAAAATGCATGCACAAAGTCACCTACACTAATTTTGTATGAACTTGTGTCCATCGATTTAGATGTTGGCCAAAGCCCCTTCATTGTAGCTATGCCATAATGGGTCGTACCTTCGTTATCGGTGTAGCTATCGGTGAAACAAGAAAATCCACAAGATAAACCACAAAGGGCAATGAGGATGCCTGATAGGTACTTGTTGATGATAGTGCAATGACCATTGTTTGTGAGAATAGGGTTTAGGAATTGGTATATGAAGACTGTTCCTGTTGGGAGGAGTCTTATGAGATTGCCTAGGCCATTTAAGGTCTTGTCCTTCAAGGTATAGTTAGGTTTTGCCATTTTCTAGGAGAGCGAGCAAGTTACAAGCACCTACTCCTGTCAAAATGAAAAGCAGCAAGCGGAAATTGAACTTGAAAAAGTTGAGTTGTTTATTGTTTTGTAATTGTGGAGATTATGTTTTTGGGAAGTGCATGGATTTTGTAGAATTTATAGATGGAGAGAGTGAGTTGTTGCTTCTAAGTAACATATATTATATTAGTTTGAGCTTTGAATATAAGTAGTAGAATTTGTTTATTTTGCTTTTTACTCATTGGGAGATGGACAAAGCTTCAAGTAATGCAAATGATAGTGGAGTTATGAATATCCTTAGATTATTTTATGAGTTTAAAAATTTATTATCCCACACGTAAAAAAAACCACAAGTAAAAGTTCATTAAATTGGGATTAGTAATTTAAAAGAAAGAAAATTAATTAACGTCTTTCTATGAAGATTTAGAAAGGAGTTTTGTTCGTTAAAATGACAAATCAAGAAATATCGTACCTTGTGAAGATTTAGAAAGAGAAAAATATAGAAGTTTGTGCCATAAATGAAAATTAGGGGATATCGTACTCTATGAAGATTTAGAAAGAAGAAAAATAGGAAATTGTGATCCCTACAATGAGGGGAATGTCGTACCTTATGAAAATTTAGAAAAGATAAATATAAGATATTTAGCGCCCTAAATAGAAATTAACTAAGGAATCTCATATCCTGTAAACATTTAGAAATGAGAAAAATAGGGAGTTTTGTTCCTTAGAAATAACAATTAGGTGATGTTATATCCTATGAAGATTTTAAAAGGAGAAAAATAAAGAATTTTATACCCTAAATAGATTTAGGAGATATCGTATGCTATGAAGATTTAGAACGAAGAAAAATAAAAATAAAAAGAAAAAGTTGTGCCCTAAATGAAATTTAAGGGATGTTACGCCCTATGAAGATTTATTAAGGAGATAAATAAAGGAATTTTGTTCCCTAAATAGCAATTAGAGGTTATGGTGCCCTGTTAATTAAGAATGGAAATGACCCATCAAAAGGGTTCCAACGATTTATGTCCATATTACTAAGATTTAAAATCCTAAAAGATCTCTTCAAAATAGAAAAGAGGGAAACGGAATTTTATTTAAAAAACATAATTCTCAGGTGACAAGGAGTTTGTGGGTGAAAACTCAACCAAAATCGAGTGAGAATTGAGTCTCAAATTTCAATTTGGAGGAAAAATTCCCTCTTTTGAAATCTTTGATTTTGAAGAATTTAGAAAATAAAATTGATAGGAAATGATTGAAAATTGAGTTAGGAACTTACCCACATGAATTCCCTCAAGAAATATCTCCCAAAATCTCTCTCCCGAGCTTTCAAGTAAGGGTGTCCATTCGGTTTTTCGGTTTGGTTTTATACTATTCAGTTTGGGTTTTTCGGTTTTTGGTTTTGAAGAAGTGTAACCCAATCCGAACCAAAATAAATTTGGTTTGATTTGGTTTTTCTCTTTTTGGTTTGGA